ACCATTGAGATGAAATGTAAATACGCCACAGTCAAGGATGACAACTCGATAATTCAGCTGTGGGTTTTTTTTCACCGAAGAGTTGCCGTTCTTGTATAGAGATCTCTTGGCTGATTTTTTTTTCTTTACTTTTTAGTTTTGTCTAGAGTGGGAAGGGGGTGGGGTGTTAGTTTTTTTTTTCTTTTCTTTTTTTTCCCGCCAAGAAGCAGTTTGTCTTGAAGAGGTCACGTGTTCCCGTAAGTGTCGTCTTGCATGTTGGCCCCCCTTAAAATAAATGGGAAATAGATTTTTGACAAGTGCCTGTTTCTTTACTCTGAAAATTTTCTGAAACCGGCCCGACGGGCGGGTTGAAGAGGATGAGGGGGTAGAATCATTTAGGTCAACTTCCGTCTGCCACTTTGATTCTGGCACCAGCGCCGACAACTCTACTCCCCCCCCCCCCCACTTGAACTATTTACAAATAAAGGGAGACGATTTCTGTACTGCGCTGACCAGATCTCGTGCGGACTGGACCACGAGAATTAACCATAGATAATTCATAGTCGTACCCATAGTTCATAGTCGTACCCATAGTTCATATTACTACTCATAATTCATATTTCTACTCATAGTTCATATTTCTACTCATAATTCATATTTCTACTCATAATTCATATTTCTACTCATAGTTCATATTTCTACTCATAGTTCATATTTCTACTCATAATTCATATTTCTACTCATAATTCGTATTCATATCCGTAAGTCACACTGTCACTAATAATTTATATTGGTATCCATAATTGATTTTTGTACCTATTACTGAAGTTATCGTTCTTGTTCTGTATTCGCATTGTTTTCATTTATCTGTTACAATTTGGTCATGCTTTTACTTTTAGATATCTCTGTAGCCGTAACCCTTCCCCTACTAATAATTCGGACGGCTTGGCCTAGCGGTTAAAACGCCCTTGAGTCTACCCAGCTCTGATGAGTACCTAACTCACGTTAGGAAAAGTAAACACGGCTAGGGATACTGCTGACCACATTATTCCTTCATATGCCGTGGTAACAGAAACAGGTAAACTCTACTTCACTTGCCCCATGGACGGTTAGGTATGGAAAAGGGAACTGTAGTTAATTTTCAATCCTAATTCAGATAGCAAATATATCACAATAAGATACGATATTTTCTTTCATGCGATTGAATACGATTCGGAGAATGTTGATTGCATCAACGTTTACAAACAGCTCTTCATTTAATTCAACCATAACATTTACTCGATGTCTGTCTTAGGATTTGTTTTATTGGAAAGGGAGAGAGTAAAGGGGAAGCGGTGCCATCCTTAAAGACATTAATTAATTACTTAAATCCATCAAATATAGACTTCTGGAGATATATTACCGTTTATCCGTCTTCGCCAGTTACCTAGCTTATCAGTTTTGTAGATTTCAGCTGCGTAGTATTCAATTCTTGTTTTTTTTTTTTCTGGCGATATCTAAAACTGTGTGCTCTTTCTCAACATTAGCCGCCCATTAATTAAATTACCCCCCCCCCCCCCCCTACCGCCGTCCCGCACACCTAATTTGACCCATCTTCTGGACGCCTATCACCACACAGTGCGACTAAACCAGTCGATGACCGATGGAGAAGTCTGGAATTCCTGACTTTGACCAACGTCTCTGTTCCTAAGAAGTCAGTCTCCATTGGTTACTATTCATTGAGTCTCCGGAGCTAAGTATGTCAAGATATTTATAGCAATTACTTCAGCCAAGGGGAGAACACTGCTTTGTTTTGAAATATTCAAATGTATTATTACTTCGTAGTTATCTTTTTTTGTTCAAATCGTGTAGCGGTTTTCTTTTAATTGGTTATGTACATTTATGTTTACAATTTTAAAATATGAAATAAAATGTAAGTAATAGATTGAAAGCTGGCAACTAATTCCTTAAATGTTCTAAGAATCTTCGATCCATTTTTTGTAGCTTAAAATAAGGTTCACTAATCGTAATAATTCTTGAACAATTTAGTTTTCATTTATCGTAAAATTCCTTCGTAGATTTGACTGTATAAAGTTTGGATTATGACTGTATTAAATATGGATTATGACTGTATTACATAGGATTATGACTGTATCAAATATGGATTATGACTGTATTACATAGGATTATGACTGTATCAAATATGGATTATGACTGGATTAAATATATGGATTATGACTGGATTAAATATGGATTATGACTGGATTAAATATGGATTATGACTGGATTAAGTCGGGATTGTCCACACACGAAAACAGACGTATGTTTCCCTTTATTTGTTGCAAAAATTTTTCAGTTTGTTTCTACCGAGCGGTGTGTACAATAGTACTCTTCTTCTTCTTCTTCGTTCTTAATTATTAGTGTTGAAGGGGATCGAGATTTATCTGCCAGTGGGTTTAACAACCATGAGCTTTACCGACTCGATCACGCCGACCCTTTACAAATAGTAAAATGAATAGGCTACAGTTGTAGTCTTATGTGATAGGTATTGGGGTTATATTTGTTATTAGATAAACATACGTGCCACTTACATCAGATAATCGTTCTGTAACTATATCTATCATCATTGATGTAAATTTAAAAACAAAAAACAAAAACAAACAAATAGTTTTGGTAAAGTGGTTCAACTTTTTTTTTCCCGCTCTCAGACCAACAAAGATGATGTCGAAACTCAACTCGAACCTAGAATTCACTCCCCTCGAATTCCCTCGGCCTATATCAGCTATCTACCCTAGCTAAGATAATTTGGAGAATGGAGAGGGGGATGGCACTGGAGCTGATCTGACTTCAGTCTGGCTTGAATAACCTGCACATTATTTGCTCTTTAACCAGCCGCTTCGTCTGTCATACGTCATCACGTCTGTCCGTCTGTCATCCTCCGCCTGCCTTACAATATATAGTATCTACATCCGTCATCTTTCGTCCGACAAACAGCATCACTTCTGACAACACGTTATAGGTTGAAGATACATCATTATCGTCGAACATCTGACCATCTGACTTTCAAAAATGTCTATGAATTTCTCCTATAATATATATATATATATATATATATATATATATATATATATATATATATATATATATATATATATATATATATATATATATATATATGTAACTAGGGTGGGCCTAGTTACTAGTCACTATTGTTGAGAACGCGATAGTGCAGGTGTTGGACTGATAAGCCAACTGATAACGATCATAAAGCCACGGCGTAATTTGGAAGGATACGACAAGCGCTGTCAACTTTGACACGACTTGGCTGACGAAACAGTGCAGATGTTATATTAAATCGGACTGTACGACAGAAGCGGCGTAATTAACATTCTGATGCAACAAGTAGAATCGATTACGACTACGATTATGATAGAACCGAATACGACTACGGATACGAAGGGGATATAAGGAAGGCGACGGCTCAGTCTCTCGCTCTCTCGATCAGTCAGTCAGTGTGGCAGTATCAAGTTGGTTATTGAACGGGTTAGCCGTATTGTGTTAAGAAGGACGATAGACATGTGCATTCAGTTATGTGAAGACTAGTGAGGACTGTTGGGGGTCAGTTGATTCAGACTATTATTGTGAAACATCTCTCTTGATTCATTATATTATTGTGAAGCATTTCTTTGATTCATATAATAAAAGGATCAATAATGAACCTGCATCTTCGAGTATCTATACTGTAGTCGATGTTGTGTAGAATGAGTGGTTAGACTCGTTACATTTGGCGTTGTCGGCAGGATAGACTCGGGAAGGTTACATTCGGCGCTGCGAGCAGGGTGAATTCAGAAGATGCAACTAGCCTAGGTCACATTTGGCGTCGTCGGACAGGATGAATTCAACTAGACTTGCCGCTTTAGGCACCCATAGTCAACCTTGTTCATAACTGTGTTTCGTGTGTGTGTGAATTCGAACATTCAGGAACAGTGAAAATCGAGGAACGAGGAAAATTTTTCATACACACACGGTAAGAAACGTCTTTTTTTTATTTGAAGGAAATAAATAAAAGGGAAAACTGAAATCAGAATCGAGGAAATTGAAAAGAACAGAGATGAGACACCTTTCATTATCATTCTCGCTTGGTGTCACATGCTCTTTTGCTGCTGCAAGCATGTGGCTCAGTATACCCCTAGTTGTAGCACCAGCCACCCTGGGGACAGCTATGGGGCTGACCACCAGCATCCAGATAATTGTCATTGGTATCTCCAACTGGGTTGTTGGACAAATACTGGGCAAAGATGGCAACCAAGATATGGATGTAACTCTTGGACACTGGAAATGTGTCATGATCTCCCTTTTGGGCAACACTATCTGCTGCATAGCTGCAACATTTTTCCTTGGTGTGAGTGGCAGACGCGGGAGTGATATTTTAGATATCGGAAAGGAACAAAAACTCCTGCTGGCCCAACAATCTGAGTCAGATAAGATAGGCAACGGTAAAGATGACCCTTTGCCTCCAGATGGACCAGGACAAAATGTGGACAAAAAGCCGATCCATATTGTGGTCCTGCCCAGTGAGTCCCACATCAACAAATTTTACGGGGACGGTGATCCAACCTTAACCAACAGGTTCAGTGAAGAGGTCAGGGCTGCCTGGGCCTCAAGATACATGTCACCAGAGGAAAGATTAAGACTGCTGATGGGAAGTATAGGAGAGACGGTCAGGGCAGAGGTAAAATGCCACGATAAAACCATCCAATCAGATCCAGATAAGGTGCTGGATCTGATTATGGAGACCTTTGGGGAGAGACGGTCGGGTTCGCAACTGCTAACGGTGTTAGTAGGCTTGAAGCAGAGAATGGCGGAGAGTGTGATGGAGTATTCACACCGAATGAACGGGGCCTTTGAAGCGGTAAAAGGCAAAATACCCGACATGGATGCGCGCCTGCTGAGGGACCATTTCATCGAGGGGCTGGCGACCCCTATGTCAAGAAGATATTTGAAAGAAGAGGTCTACAAAGACCCACAGTTGACCTTCCTTC